TCTGAAACAAGTCTTGCTGGCCGCCACCATTTTGCAGAATCTCGCGACGGTACTTCTCCCACTTGTCCTTTCGGAATGGGCCTTCAGCAAAGACAGAAAGAAAGACATCCTGGGCCATTGCCGTGCAGCTTCAAGAGAGTTAGTCTTAACGAATGGTACAATAGAGCAAGTAGTCTGGATGGGAGAGAAGCATACATGAGATAAGCATAGTAGCAGACATCATAGCCCGCTGTCAGATGACTGAAAGTTCCAAATGCATAGCCGTCTCGGCACTCGGAGAAGTCCATGCTTTCAACCTCCTCACGGAGGTCATACCAGAGCTTCTGAACATCCAGATTTAAAATTGCTGCATCTGTCTTGAGACTATGGATTTGCAGGTCGAAGATGGAGATTGACCTGCCCAATTTAGATTAGTTGAATTAGGAAGCATGAAGCAAACACATACAACTGATACAAATGATAAAGCCCCCGATTCAGGTAACGATGCTTGATAAGGCGTTCGACTACATCCTCCGGAACCTTCTTTGGCGGATCGGGTGATCTGGGATGTTGCTTGCGCCACTCAATCAGGTAACTATTCTCTAGCGTAGTGTAGTGGCAGCTGAGTCCCTGCAGAACCTCTTTCTTCCAGCACCAGTTCTCGAGCATCATACTGGGCATCTCTCCAAAGTCAGGGGGAAGCCGGTAGCCATGAAATCGGACGTATTTTGTTCGTGCAAGGAGATCGTGGATTCCATGACCCATTTCTGTGTCTTATGTTAGAAATAGATCCAAATGTGTCTGAATCGGGCTTACCGTGGAAGAGGGTCACCACTTGGTGGTGTTTGAGCAATGCACAACCGGTAGGGGTGGGAGTCGGGAAAGAGCACATAAGGATTGTGGCAGGGTATTGCCGACCGCCATCTGGGCGGAGATAGCCCTGATGCTCTCTGTTAGTCTGGACCAAGCACGATGTCACTAACATAAGGATGCGCATACACATTGGAGATTCACGCTTTGGTTACCGCGATATTTGTTTTCTCTCCATAGCAAATCGAAGTAGAGGTAGCCAATAAACTGCTTATCGGGCGTACTGTCCCAGACAGAGAATACCCGGATGGACTCATGCCAGAGAGACTCCTTCTCAGCTTCGACAGGTTCGAACTGAAGACCCAAAACAGAGGCAAAAATACCCAGCATTCCTATGGCTGTTTGTTCGAGGGAATAGAACTCGGATAGCTGCAGCTGGTCAACCGCAACTTCCTCTTCTACTAACCGCATGTAATAGGGTTTATCCCACGGCGGAAATCCCACCCCATCTGTGTCACGCTTGTCTTTCAGATCCTTCACTCTCCTTTGCTGCAAGACCGCAGTTTCGTCTTTGCCGCGGGCGCACAGAGTGCCCTTGAGGTTGTTGAGAAACCCACCTAGCCATTCCGGATCCTTTACCATACGTTGCTGTAGCCGATACTCGGCGTGGTGGGAATGGTGCAATTGATGGGCCCGCCGAGCCCGTCGACGAATGATCTCCTCGAATAATGGCTGATTGCTCTGGAGCTTCTGATTATCGGCCAAAAACATCTTCTTTCGCGTTTCGGGACGACGAGCATAGGTCAACACCGCCACTGTACCTCCATTCGCAAAGGGTACAAATAGCTTTTCTTTTGCCTTCTCACCATCTGACTTCCACTTCCCCAAGTCACTTGCTGGTACTCCTTCCAAATCGTCCCGTGTGAACCATACGCCCCCATTTTCCCTTGATAAATTTCCTGAAACTTCCTCTCTATTTGCCCAATGTTTGCCCCTTCCTGTAAGAAGCCTTCCACTTCTTCCGCATCCAGCTCCCCGTGTCCTGCCATTCGGTATACGGTCAACTCACGTTCGAGCAAATGTTGCGATTCCGCATCCAATGACTCAAAGTCCTCTCGATTGTCACGGGCAGCCTGTAGTAGACGGAAGTAATCCCCGTTGGCGATCCAAGCCGCCTGTGCTTCGGCATAGACGCTCAAGGCGGAGTGAACGACATCCTGGGTCTCCCGTAATGGAGCACCGTACTGTAGCATTTCGATCATGGCTAGCTGGCCTTGAACTGCGTTCTCGGTCTGCGCCAAGGGAAGAAGAGTGTTGGCAAAGGTGGCTGTTTCTGGAGTCGTTGCTTTGAGTATTGAATTGCGCGTCTGAGTGAGTCCATCAATAATCTGATGCATGAGGGGGAGGATTTGGTCAGTGACTGGGACACGGGGAAGCTGAAACATGGTGTATGAGACGGTTTGTAGTCAGGCTGCGAGTATTAGGGTAGAAGTTGTTTGGCTTTTTGGGTGTCTAATCTGAGTTAGTCCAGAGTATTGCAATGGGGAGCAGAAAGGAGTAAGGACTCGTTAATATAGTATCACTCTAATGAGACAAAAAGAGGGGAGGGGGCTGGTTGAGGCTAGGGCCTACTTGGGACTTCCGTATAGGGAAGAGTAACTTTTGTAGTACGTCGGGTGACTACCACTAGTGGCTTGAGATCAAATTGCTTGGATTGTCTCCCCTGTTCCTGCATGGTTAGCGCTTTGACTAAGGCATTAGTAGATCACGCCATAGCCACGTTTCATCCGTTCATTTTCGGTAGTATGGCTATCAGCTGAGGTTGTTTCATTAGACAAAGACATTGACTAGCTATGACTTATGCTTTCCGTCCAGCTTATAAACATCACTGTTAATGCTGGTTATGATAGACAGCAGCCTCACACTTAGAAGTAATAGTGCTGCTCCAACTCTTCCCTTATTCATGACGAAGACTTACAGTGGAGACAGGAACTCCAGAATACCAGAGGTGCTTTTGAAAATAGGCACCTGAGAGTAAGATGTCTTAAATCTTCAGAGTCCATTTAGAATCACGAACGGGAGAACCTTCTCCGCGTCCTGATCCGTGGATCGAGCTTCAGGCACTTGTGCCGCGGAAAGTTGACAATATGGAGCAATATGCTGCTTGTGAGGCTACGAAGTACTTACTGTCGAAGTAACCAGTGACATCTCATTAGGTTATTGTTTCCCTATTCTTAATATAAAAATGGGGCCCGATAGCGAAGATGATTATATATTTTCCCGTAATAATCCTACGAAAAAGACTTGTCTACTACCCTGATACAATTGACGAAGTACGTGCTTTGCAGGCTGTACTTGATCTCTAATCAAGACGAGTTATTAAGTCCACATCTCTAGATAAACAATGAAAAGTATAAGTGCAATCTTTTTATCGGGGTTAACGTTCGAATACCATTGGGTGCTAAGAAACACAAACCACATGACATCAATACCCCACTTCATCTCCGAGCGGGGCATATTTGGTGCAACTTCGGAATCTCCTGTTTGTCTTCCAACAATAACTCGATAACATACCAGGAAATTTCCCAGCCTCATCCTAGCAACCATGACAAAGACAATTGTCGCAACTGGCATCTCATCCGGCTTGGTGTGCTTATCTTTCCACCCTTCCATGTATCAGTTTCTAAGACACCACAGGGCTTTGAAACAATCAAGCAGTTGCTTGAGCAAGCCGAGCCGTACAATTTCATCTTGGGCGCGCGAGACACGGCCAAGGTTCAGGCTGCTTACGATAGCCTCAACTATGACACTTCTAAGCATTCCATCACCATTTACCCACTCGACCTCCTGTCTTTGAAGAGTGTGCAGTCTTTCGCAGCAAATGTCCTTTCCAAGTTGGGTTCCGAGAAGCTGGCTTATCTCTTCCTCTGCGCCGGCACTCTCGACAATGGCGAAGGCCCCGGTCCGAATGGATCGCAATGGTGCTCGGGATATGTAGTTAACCACCTAGGTTCGTGGATTATGGATAGACTTTGAGCGTACAAAAGGGAAAATCGATTCACTAACAATGAAGCAAACTTATAACAGCCCCGCATTATCTGGTCCACTTGCTCCGTGATGTGCTATCTGCCTCGCAGTCGCGGGTTGTTTTCGTTTCTTCCGGGGCGATCCGTGGTCTCAGAGACCAGGATCCGGGTGAGATCCCTGCATTATCCTGGTACTCTATTCTGGCATTTATTAACTGTTTGTGGTATAGCCACCCTTGACGTGGACCTGAAAGCCAACTCTGGCGCAGGCTATCGTCCGATATACAGTGCCTCCAAGTTCGTGCAGCTGTTGGGCGCATTTTACTGGCGGCGTGAGCTCCCCTCTTGCACGGTCGTTGCTGTTTCACCGGGTCTCATTCCGAGCACTCCTCTCGCTTCGTCAATGGGTTTGACCATGGATATGCCCGATGCCAAGACCATCCCCGAGGGTGAGGATCGCTCTTAGCTTACTCTTTACGTTTGACTTGCTGACGAAAGCCTATAGGTGCCCAGAACCTCCTCCGCGCCTTTTTCATTAACGAATTCCCGTCGGATCCGGAACAGATTTTCTTGACTAGCTGGGGAGAGTGGTGGCCTAAGGATGTGTATGCCTTGGCTCTTGATGCTGACCTGCAGAAGAAGTGGTGCTTGAGCAGGGAGGAGATTGAGAAGACTGAAAGCATTGCTTGAACATATCGTCGAGGATGACGGACATATGATCAAAAGATCAAAGTAGATGTGCTGGATATATTTGATGCTAGGGACTTAACACATACTTTGAACATAGATTCTTCCTTTCGAAATGCAGATGTAGTAGACCATGAGACATGATGTGCCCCACTGGATAGAGCAAGAGGGTGTAGTTTCAATTTTTGAGGGAAGTGTGATTGCTCTTTTTGCCCGAGCTCACCCGTGCCGAAATCCAATCCACGCCACCTTGAATGCACCGAAACTGGCTGCCTAAGTAATAGTGCTGAAGAGATAACGCGCTAGACTGACTACTGTGAGGAAGCCTCGTATAGGGCAGTATGCTTCATGAAAGTCCCAGACTATCGAAAGGTAGGTTACACAGCATGGATCCTTCAGACAACCCCACGCCGGTCGAACTTCCAATCTGACAGCCTAGCCCGGATGACAAGAACCAAATAAAGCAATACCCTTTGCCCCATATTACGGGTCTCACCCCGCAAAAAGCAAATGACCGTTCTCGGCCCCATCCATCCCAGTCTCAGCACTCCACAACACCCTTTACTACTGCTGCCCCCAAATCCCATTCGCCATTTCATGAGCAATTCCATGAAATTGCCCCTCATTCAATTCATGAGCAAGCACCACCCGAATAGCATACGGAGTGGCATTAAGAGAATCGAGCCGGAGCTTGCGTTCCTCCACTACCCGCAAAAACCACGCCAGCAGCTTCTCCATACGAAAGGGAAGCTGAGCGCGAAAGATGTTGTTGGACGACCCATCGTGAATATTGGTGATGATGATATCGACAGCGGGGGGTCCGAAGAACACGAATCCTCTGGCATCACGGACTTCACCGGTCTCGGGATCGTTGTATTTCCCGTCCACAATGGGGCGGTTGCTTGCTGCATGCCAGCTGGGGGTGTGGAGCTCGTCGGGATGCTCGCGCTGGAATGGCTGTGGACGAAGATTGGCCTCAGCCAAGACTTGTGCTAGGGGAGGGTCACTTGCATCCATATTTATTTTGATACTTGAGTTGATGGATTGATGAAAAGAGCTTGGTCATGTGGTGGATTTTGATGGAAGAATTAATTCGGAGGGTAAGGGATGATGGAGGGAAGAGTTTCGTTCAGGGCTAATGGAATGGGAATATACCCTATTGAGAGTCACATGATACCCTGCAGGGTTGGACAGATGTTGCCTGCCAATCGGTTTCTCTTGCTCGTTGTGGTCCTGTCAGCACATAAGCTGAGCTTGTTTGCCCCTGAGTGCAGTACGTTACACAAGACCCTGGGGATCATCCAGGCAAACAGATTGTTCCCTGCTTTCGTTCCCGAGCATTCCCGCTGTCAGCCCTACAGAATCAGGGTCCATCAACGCATCATTCTCCAGGGAAGTATAGGCACCAACTATGTCTGATCTTTTCTTTGCCTGTGCTGGGTGTATCTTTACACCATTGATTTGGATTCAGGCTTTTTTGACAAGATGTGGAAGCATGGATTCTGTTCATAGCAGTTACAGGCCACGGACAGTACTCGCGAGGTCTTCAGTAGCCTTGTCGATGTTACACAAACGAGCTGAGAATCAGGCGTGCCATATCTTAGCCTGAACTTCAATCACACCGGCTTCACTTCGAGCCGAGAAAAAGCCCAAACAAGTCATCTAGAGAGCGTAGCAGTAATGCCTCAGGATCAGCGCCGTCAGCACGGTGCTACTTGGTCGACCTGCAGCAGTTCTTCAGAATCACACATACCGAGAACTATAGCACTCATCCAGCTCGGGACATAAAAGGCTCGTACCAGCCCGTACTCCTGATGCTTTCTCCCTCATCAACAGCTTCGTCTCTCATTGACTACTCTACTATCTCTTAATTAGAAGTACCAACTCAATCTTCACGATGCGCTTCACATCCTTCGCCATTGCCACCGCCTTCCTGGCTACCATGATTTCTGCTACTCCAGTGGCCGAGCCTGAGCCCAACCCTGTTGAATTGGCTGCTCGAGCCAAGTACACCATCCACTGCAGTGGTGGTCTCAACCCTGATTCGCACTGCTTGACACCTCATTCCAAGTGTGACTCTTACGGCACGTACCTGGTTGAGTCTGGTTACAAGGAGCAGTGCAAGAAGTGTGGCTGCGCGAAAGAGTAGATCTTTCATCCTTGAGAAGGTAATTGCTAGATGCCTCGGGAACGAGAAGGATGGGTGCTTTGCTAACATGAAGAAGTATAGTTTGAACAGAAGCTGAGTTTAGAAAGGAGCACGAAGGATGATAAGGGGATTTGAAGGAAGATGTGGTAGTCTACAGTGGGCAGATGTCTGTGTGTGGGGAGAAAGACTGTTTGGGATAAAAAACAGTGGATAAATTGTTTGGCTCAACACTCATGTTATAACCTACTGTTAGAACATCAAAATGATATCATCTACTGTTCAGATTGTGACTCTTCTGGTATGGCATGCATAATTGTCCAATGTAGGCCATGATATAAATGGGGCTATATCGAGGCCATTCATATGTCGCTTACACGTACAGGCACAAGCCTTAGCGTGTACAACGCTTGGTTGTCTACTGTAGTACTGCAGAGGGCCTTTAAAGCAACAATCTTTTCGTGAAATATCTACGCTTTCGTTCTCGGAGACCTAGAAGTCACACTCGCAACATGAAATGTTTCCATAACAGCTCGTCCAATTTTACCCTGTTTGAAGGAAATCGTCGCCTTAGCTAGAAATAACTAAATATACAACAAAAGCAAAAAGCGAAGTGTGGTAGCCATACAAAAGGCCAATATGTAAAATGAGTGTTGGACAGTCAGCATGCCTACGAGTCACGATCATCTTGCTCAAATATATGTTCCTTCTGTTCTCCGTGCCTTTCCCGCTGACTTAAACGGGGCATCTTTGGATCGTCGTACTGTTATGTAGTTGCATTAATCAGAAAGTTAGCAGTCTGGTCTCCACTCACTATCTCTGCACTCTCTTGGCTTCAAGAACAATTTCAGGTCTCCAGTTTCGTTCCAACCCAAGTTCACAATTTCATCAATCACCTAATTAACACCGTATACATGGCATCAACAATTCAACCGATTAAACCACAAGCACACTTCTGCCTCCAGCAGGAGTAGTCTTCAGTCTCCCTATGATGGCCAGACAGTCCAATCCAAACCTACTGAGCTCGTACCGACACTATTTTACCACATCAACGTCATTAACCACTCAGACCAGCGGCATCCTCCTGCATTTCCAGCAGCTGTATGTCAGCTTTCTGAGCCTGCTGAAACACCAAATATGCATGTTGACCCCTTAAGTCCTCCAAATCACCAAAATTCATATATTCGCAAGACTTGTAGTTGTGACATGGTTCGTGAAGTGTAACCGGTCACTACCAGAAGCAAAGAATACAGCGGTCCACCCCCAAGAGTAAGCAGCCCCGTACTGCGGCCACCCGTCACGAAGCTTATTTTTCTTATCCACGAACAAGGACTGCAGCTTGGTAGTCAAGAAATCCCCAGCCCTGACCTCATCTTGTAATGACAGCTGATCCGGCCAGACAAGCCGGCGATGCTGGCAGTCTAGCAAGAGTCCATGCTTTGCAAATCACATTCTGCCTAATATCGTGCCGGCCAAGATCGAGGATCAGGAAAGGTACATCGTCAAACCATCCGTCGATGGTAAGGGTGAAGCAGATGGCATGCGTTAAAGGTATAATAGCTTTTCCGTCAAACCCTGCGATTGTATATCCGGTATTCAAGGGAATTGTCTTGCTCTGTAGTCGGTGTGCTAACTTGACAGCAAGGTCAGTATTTATATAAGCGGACGCGTTTGCTCCAGTGTCTGCTAGGGTATGGGCGGATACTGCTAGTCCATTCTTCGATATCAAGGTATTAATTGTAGAGCTTCCACTCTCCTGACCTAGCAGATTTCGTGAGTCCAGTGTACTTAAATAAACTTCCATCTCGCCTAGAATGGAGACTTCTCCTAGGCGTTGCTTTTTATTTGCTTATTCTCTTCCACAGTCTCCAACTGCTTGATCTGAGCCATTTTCTTCTTTAGGTAATCTCTAGCCAGATGGCCCTGCTCCTGGCAAATAAAGCATCATCCTTCGGTCATCGTGAGGGCGCGGTCCTCTGGCTCTAGGCCCGAAGCGCGACTAGTGTTTCAGGGGGTTCGACAACCAGTGGAGACAGGAGTAGTAGGAGTAGCACTACCAGAGACCGCTAGCAGGGAGCGGCGGGGCGCTGAGCCAGTTCTCTCAGAACGTTTTATCATCTGATCAAACTGCTTTATTTATTTCAGTAAATATCAAAATACGGCGGCTTGGACAGGCACATAAAAGGTCGCGTGTGGCTCAAAAAGCCCGGAAATGTGCATCTCTTCGATCAGGGCTTGCTTATGTAGGATTATACCAGACGAGATGATGACTGAGATTTTGTTAGATATCTCAACGACGCCTGAATATGTATCTAATGACACGGCCAAGCTTGCAGGATTCAGGTTTCGTTAGAATCTGGCAGTACAAGCCAAATGAGTACCACACCAACAAGGTTGACGGGTATTGATCACACTTCACAGCCGTGTTGCGTCAAGGCCGCTTGTCAAAAGCCTGCTCCGTGATGTATTGATGGCATCGGTGCAAGCCCTTTGAGGTAGGACACTCATTTAGTTGCTTCATCAGACATGGAATAAGCCATCTTTGTTTGAGATCTGGGAAAGCGTTCACACCGGTCTCATCTTCAAAAGATCCACAGTTCGCTTCTCTAACCGCGGCACGGTGATGGAGAGGAGAATGTCGATGAATTTCATTGTGCATATCTTGTATGTATGCACGCGATATGGTGTCCAGCTCATATCAGTGGAGTACATAAATTTGCCTTTGGGGAGATAGATCTTTGCCTGTTCAGAGCAAAGTCAGTTGTAAGAAAGAATGTATCGCACAATTTGGTCGATATCTGGTACCGATCCAGCCTGAAATATGTTGTTCTGTATCCGTTGTGAAATCGACTTCAGACTATCTTTTGCAATGTCGCTGCGGAGGGCCAGGAGCGTGATATTGTGGTGTTCGAAGTATCATTGTAGTAGAGGACACTCGCACAATTTTCGACTCTTTTGGGTAGGCATTCGGTTAGAACATCACGCGTCTTGTTCTCCTCTATGTGAAGCCTTGGATAGTGGGTCGAGTCGATGGTGACAACATGCAAAAGCAAAGCCGAGAGCGCACCTTGGGATCGAGGTCAGATTGATCACAATTTTTCGCCATTACCATAGACCCAGCTTTTTGCAATTTCTCACATGCAGCATATATAGAAGTCAGAAGAGATGGTGCACCTGCTTTGTAGTGATAATAAATAGTTGATTCTCATGCACGTTGAGTAGCTCATATCACGCTTCCTGCTTGAGCCAGATTCCCCTGGTAGCCACGCCAGCTATGTGCGGCCCATTGAACGTTCCTGAGGGGATTTTAAAGGCAGATGAGAAGACGCTGTATTGGCTTCTCTTGCCCGCGAATAGGGCACAGCTTTCATGCAGTGATGTGCTGTTCCGTCATGATGCCATCTCAGTGGTGTTCAGACGATTGTAGTTCCTCATCATCGCATTCACATGAAGTTGTTGTACATCCAATATCAGACAATATACTTGCAAGTTGTCGCTGTATAGTATGTGAGAATCTGGGACTCTACTTCGGTAGAACCTTTTAGGCGGCAGGAAGCTGCGTAGCAGGGAGATGAGCGGTAGATGGTTGCTCAGTGCAAATCGTAGACTGTTGCAGATTGGAATACTGCATGGCGTGATATTCATCGCGAACTCTCTTTGTAACACGAGAACCAAGGCAGATGTATCTGCGTATAATAGCAGGTTTGAAAGAAGTTGCTTAGACTGGCAATAATCGTTGCGAATCCAAGGCTTTCTTGTCGACGCCTGAAAGACGCTGCCCTTGATCAAGGAACTAGCGCGGATCGCTCCACCAAGTAAATATATCTCTGGCTTTGAGCTAGGCCCTCTAGTAGTGTGAATTCAGTACTGACAAGGACTAACAGCACTTTTGCTCTTGAGTGAACTTTATCCTTCTCACCACCATCTTTGTATCTGAGGTCTCAGTG